GCTGAGGGCAGCAGCGGGTGGTCAGGAGGTGTCTGCTGGACCATGTGGGTCATTTCCCGGGCAGGGATCAAACTCATGCTGAAGTGGCTTTAGTTTCTTAGTGCTGTGCTCTAACCTGCTGCGCCACCAGGGTGGGTCTTATTTTAATTTTTAACTTATTTTCTTTCTGTTTAGTTGAAATTAAATTTTTATTTATTTGAAATTAAAGATGGGATCAGTAACAATGGTGCGGGAAGCTGAAAGGAAAGCTCGCTGATGCTGGTTCTATTTTAGATGTTGACATTTTGTTCATTATGGAGCTTTTTGATTGTCATAAAATACTTGTTCTTGACGACTGAGTTTTCTTGGCACCCCTTAAACTTTGCTCTCCCTGACGGCAGCACACCCTGTGTGACACTGTAAGAGGTGAGGACTCTTCTGATACCACAGGCAGGGAACAGAAACTCAGAGGCCAGGACCCTTTGCAAGGCCACACAGCAAGGGAGTGGAGCCCAGTCAATCTTTCGGCCACACCCAGTGACTAGGGGAACGCCCTGTTGGGAATTCAATGAGCTAAGGAATGAGGCCCAGCCCAGTGCCTGGGAGACCCTAGCTCTCCCAAACGCCCACTGTCACACTGCGATGCAGTTACCACCCCCTCCAGATGGTCAGGACCTCAGGGTGGGCCGAGGAGCAAAGCCCAGCTGAGGCGAGTGTCCTTTCCAGTGTCCCCCGGCCCTGCCAGCCCCTGGCCCACCACCGGGCCCCAGGCCGGGCTAGTGGAACTGGCTGGCTGGAGACAGGCTCTGTCTCCATGGAGACCCAAGCAGGATGCTCAGAGCCCCGTGAGCCTCTGATGTGCCAGGAGAGTCATTAAACAGAATAAAAATAAAAACCCACCAACCCTCCTGTGAGCCACGGCTACATTTCTCTCAGCCTAGTCTTCCATCCAAAAGAAATTGGGGACGAGGGAAGGTGGGGGGAAGCCTTCCATGTTTAACATCAGCATTTTCTGCTGACACTCATACCTGGGATTTACTCCCTGGCCTCTGGACACACGCGCCAGCCTCCTCAGGGCAGGGTGGGGGAGCAGAGCCGAAGGCCTGTGTGCCCGGGCCAGCAGTCGGATTTATTGGTAGCCGAGCGAATGTGATCTTGACTGGCATGACCGCAGGAGACCCGAGGTTTGGGGCTGTTACCAGGGGAGCAAGGAGGGTGGGCAGAGCCTTGGGGGCTGGGGCAAGTGGCCCCACCCAGGACCCCTGTCCTCCTAAACCTGCCTCAAAGCCTTCATGCTCATGTCCCAGAACAGGGCTTCTTGAAAAATGACATAAAGGCATTACTTAAATTCATTTACTTAAATACCTGACCTTAAAGGAAAACTGGATTTTGAGGCCAGCCCACTCTCTCTGGGGGGCCATCTTGGTCACAGTTGGGTGCTGAGCAGCCTCCTTCACCCCCACATACTCAATGCCAGGGGCACTCCCCAACCACAAGCTCCCCATACATTGGTGTTCCTTGGGTCATCCTGGAATGGGACCCCTGCTCTGAAATGCCTAGGGACCCCCTCCCCTGGTGGAACCTCTGTCCTGGGCCCATCATCTCTGCTGTTTCCCTGTGCTACGTTTCTTCACACTCCTGGCTTCCCTCCCAGGACCCCTGACTCCCCCACCAAGACCAGGCCCTGGGAAGCGTCCCCCCACCAAGTGGGGCCCCACCGCCAGATTCACAGGTCCTCTGCAGAAACTTCTTTCCAGTCACAGCCTGTCCCCCAAGGGCTCGCCCCTGCCCCTGAGCGGCCAGGACCCAGGTGTGGCCGTGACACAGGGGCCCCCGGAGCTGTGACAGCCCCGCAGCCAGGCCCGGACAGGCCGGGGGAGGGACAGGAGGCAAACAGGTGAGCTCCGCAAGCGCCTTCTTTGGCACTAAATACGCAGAAAGGGAGGAACACCGCCCCCAGCTGGGGAGACGGCGCAACAGCCCCCGAGGGGGCCGCGGGGGACAGCGGGTCCCCGTAGTCGCGTCGCGAGTTCCAGACCCGCCGGAGTCAGCTGCGTCCAGTCCCCGCACACGTCTAAAGCCACACCGGCTGTCGGGCACAGCCCGGGGTCAGGAGTCCGACGGGTCCGCGGCCGGAGGGCTAAACGCGGGCGCAGCCTGGCTCTCCAGACGCCGCCTGCCCAGCTCCCCAGGCAACATGCTGGCTCAGGCCTGGCTGGTCCACACAGCAGCCGCGCCTCCACCCGCCTCCTCCCTCTGCAAGGACCCGCTGCTCGGACTCTGAACTCCAGAATCCAGGACACCGCCCCTGCCTCAGAGGCCTCAACTTCATCCCCTCTGCAAAGTCCCTTTTCCACATTCCCAGATGGGGGATTGGAAGTGGGCGTTTTGGGGCTCCATTCTGACGGCAGATGCGTACAAGGGGGATGAAAGAAATAAAGGACAAGATTAAAGTAAAAGCCGGCGCAGTGATGGAGGAGGAGATTGTCTCTGAAGACCGCTGGGGTGGCCAAACCCCATTTCTTGGCCGAGGGGTGACTGCAGGTGTGAATGCCTTATAATTACCTGTCAGTTGTAGGTCTGTGTTGCCTTTTCTCTAATTATAGTTCCCAGTTGTTTTTAAATGTCAAGAAAAAAATGTAAAAGAGAAGCCACATTGCAGCAATTTCTCCCCCAGGGCACTGCTGATGCCAAGTAAGGCCCTTGCTGCGGGTTCCATCCTGGGCACTGAGAGGGGTTGGGCTGCTCCCTGGCCACACCCCTAGTTGTGGTCACCACAGATGTCCCCAGATACCCCTTTGTTCCCTGCGGGCAGAATAACCCAAGTGAGCCCTGGTGTGGACTTACCTTGGCTGGTTGGGGACAGGGGTGTGGTCCATACCACAGGGCTTGGGCATCCTGCTCAAAATGCAGACTGACCCAAGGCCAGGGGCTGCCTGGAGTCTTATCACCAAGCAGAGATGGCCCTAAGCCTTCCAGGGCGCCCTATGCAGCCCAGGGGGTTGGGATATGCCCCCCAGAAACACCACGCTTCGTCCATTGACCAGATGCCCGCCGCCCTGGGGAGCACTCTAGCCACCTCCTTCCCTTGCACTGGGAAGAGCCTCCCTCTGCCTCCTCTGAGACTGCGGGGGGTCTTTGCTTCTCCTAGGTCCCTGGTCTCACCATTTGGCTTCAGGTATGGGGAATGATTCTTCACGGGGCCAACCCCTCTTCGTTCCCAGGACAGCTACAGAGGGTGGGGTGGTCTAAACACGCTCACCCCAACCCCTCAGCTAGCAGGGAAGGGTGAGAGAAAAGAAGGGGGCCCCCAAGGGTGGTAGCCCTGTCCACCCACCACAAGGCGCCGCTTGGCCTCTGGGACCTGGGGTGGACACCTGCCACCACGCAGGTGAGGAATTTGGGTTTGGAAAAAAGAGACTTTTGTGAAACAAGACTCCCCACACCCTACAATTTGGGAGCTGGGGGGCTGCAGGTTAGAATGCGAAAGATGAATATTCTCCTATCTGAACGAGCAGCCTGAGTCAGCACCGTGCAGCCAGCGCCACGGGTTCTCAGGCTGTGGGATTCCGGTGCCAGCGCATCCGGACAGGTGAATCCAGAGACAACATGCAGCTGCCGCTGCGGCTGCCAGGGCGGGAGGGGGGATGTTACCCGGACCGGCTTCCTTGGGGAAGATGCTCCGGAAGGAGACAGGGGTGACTGTCAATGTGCTGAAATGCGGACTTTGAAGGCAAGTCGATGGCATGTGAACCTAGCTCAATAAAGTTGTTCTTTCAAAAAAAAAAAAAAAAAGCACCCTTCTACCTCTACCAGATAGCCTGGGCAAGACACTTGGCCCATCTGAACTCCCTCTCTGCTCTGTAAGTTGGAAGTAAAAGCAGGTTCATGACCCTACAGAAATGTAGAGAGAGGGTGAGCCGAGACGAGCCCCCCGCCCCCACCGGAGCATCGCCACTGGGGCGAGTCATCCTGTGAGGAAACAGGTATTTGCACATCTCAATCAGCTTAGGAACCGCACAGGGGAGCAAGGCAACCCCAGACTGGACAAGTCAGGCTTATCTGTGCCCAGGGCTCACGCCCAGGAATGATACGCCGAGGATGAGACACCCCACTTTCACTTCATTCTGTGAGAGTCCTGTGCTGCTTCTCAAATGCATAAGCTGAGCCCAATCACCTGGAACCCCCCCCCCCAAAAGCCAAGGGAGGGGCATTCTACCAGAGGGTGTCAAGGTCGTGGGCGCAAGGACAGGGCTGGGGGCTCCCCGGGAAAGGAGACAGACGCAAGAGTGCTCTTCACTGTGAAGGACAATGTTGGCCAGGTTTGCGCCGTCTGTAACTCATCAACGCTATTGTGGGAGCAGCGGGCTTGGGCTGTAGGAAGTCCACTCGTAGATTCAGGGGTGAATGGGGGCGGGAAGGAGGGGAGGCCAGGAGACCAAGAGTGAGGCCGGGAGAGAGCAGAGAGGAAGAGCGAGGGAGAGAGAGAGAAGAGAAAGGAGAGAGAATGAAACAGGACAGGAGAGGGAGAAACTGGTCCAAGAGCAGAGAAATGAAGAGCAGAGAAATGTTGGCGTTTGCAGAACACGTGACGGGCACTGGAACTTCGTACTCTGTATTCCTAGCGCAGTTCCACAGAGCAGATCCTGCCCCATCTCTCCCCTGAAAGCTGGTGGGTCTAGCCCTCCCCTCCCCACCCGCGGGGCCCAGCCTGGCTCTGCTTGCACGCCTGGCTCCTGTGCTCACGCCGCACAGCCTCCAGCCTGCCCCAGGACCCTTGCATGTGCTGGGCCTGCCTGCTCAGGCCACCAGTGTGGATTTCCACACAGCTTAATTCTTTCAAAGTTATATACAAATCCGATTTTCCAAGTGAGGCTTTGTGAACTGATCTACACACCAACGTGCCGGGAAGCGAGGGTGACAGCCACCTGAGCGCCAAGACCTGTGTGCCAGCTGGCAGCTTTCTCATTTTCCTAGCTATGGTCAATGGAACTTTCTGTGTAAAAGGGAAGGAAGTATCTGCGTGTATGGACATAAGACAGCTTTTCTCTTGAGACAAAGTGAGTTTTACCTGAGTCTGTGCAGAGGGCAAAGCCACCTTCTAGCCCCAGGTGGGTGATCTGAGAAGTCAGCCACCCCAGAAACTAAGCAATCATGACCTCTGGATCCAGAAGCACTTCCAGCCCCGGAACCCAGACTCCGCCACCCCTCCACCTCTGCCCCTACCAGGTCCACGCCATCCTGTACCAGGAGCAGCTCAGTCCCCTGCACCCTGGTGCCTCACTCCACACCCCCTCTCCCCAGCCACTCTTCCCTGCAAGTTACTCAGAGTCCCACCAGCAGCCCTGATTCTACTTCGAGCATCCCACAACCTGACCTCCCAGACCTGACCACAAGAGGGCGCCTGTGAGCGCCAGGCCAGGCCACCCTCTCCTGGGCCCACTGTCCAGGGAGGCCACATCCCTGCAGGAAAAGACCCCACAGCTCACTTACTTGGATGCCCAAAGAGCCCTTCCCAAATGACATGCCCAGGCCTCCCCAGCTGCTTACTTTTCCTCCATTTGATCTCAGCCAAGTGGCTGAGAATCGATGGTTAGTTTCTCTCCACTGTGTACAGCTCAGACCTTATTTTCTCCTCCCCAGACCCCCCAGCACCCAAGCCTGGCACACAGAACCTCGGTATTTGTGGCAAGACAGACCTGGCCGGCCAGCAGGACTCCAAGTGACAGCCAGTAGGTGACCTTATCTGCAAGGAGGGTCCTGGTATTCGATTAGATGTGGCAGCACCCGACGAAATGGACCCCAAACCCCACGGAAGGCGCTGAGGGAAGCAGCCACGCAGGATGGAACCCCAATGCTGGCAGGTGCCAGAATGCAGACGCACGGGACAGATGCCCCCACAGCCTCACCTTTGCCTACCAGGGTATTTTTTAAGGGGCCATCAGTGATGTCACCAAAGCCCCTGTGACCTCACTGGCTGAGCAGCTTGCAGCGGGAGGCCCCCACGAGGAGGAAACAGCTTGAAAAGCAGATTGGGGTTAAGCCTCAGTGCAATCACTGCTGCGGCCTGAGCTCGATCCCCAGCCAGGGAGGGACCCCAGGGCACAGCAGACACCTCCTGCCTCCCTGCTGCTCCCCTCGGCAGTGGGTTTCAGTGGACCTGCCTGCTCTGCTCCCCACTGCCTCTGGGGAGTCCTCTCACCCCCACACCTCTGGCCTTCAGCTCTTCTATGCAAAACATTAAAAAAAAAAAAATGCAGACATAACTCCCAAAACCTCCGTGGGTAAGACTTGAGGCTGATCGTTCGATATGGCTTTATTTTCTGGTCACCCACTGCGTCCCCCATCGGCCTGAGCTCTAAGCGGGCAGCCGGTCTGGAGTGGCTGGGGAGGCGAGTGCAGTCCCATCAGCACACCCACCTTGACAACTGCCGAGTCCTCTCCAGGAGCCCGCTGTCCCCGAGGATGCCGGGCACTCAGTTAAACAGTCTCTGGGGAGACGGGGACCCAGCAGGGAGGAGAGGAAGGGAAGAGGGTGACAAGGAAGAGGGCCTCGGCCCCCAGCGCCCCTCCCCAGCAGGGCCGCAGGGGGGAAGGCGTGGTAAAGGGCGAGAGGAGCATCGCACACGCCCAGACAGGCTGGCGTGGGAGGGTCGGAGGGTGCTGCAGCGCGAGGGGCTGCCCTTGGTGGTGGAGACAGGCGCCCAGAGCCGAGTCCTCCTCCCACCGCGGCCCTGCCTGCCCACTCAACACTTAATTGATTATATTGCTAATGAATGATACTCCAGGTCTCCCTGAGGTCAACCCCATGCGGGAGGCCCCCCTCCGCCCCACCGGCTTCCTCTGATCCCAGCCTGGACTCACGCCCACGACGCACGCAGCCCTTTGCAAACACGAGCTGAGGCCCGGGGAGACGGCAGCTGGCAGAGGAGCCAGAGGGCCTCTCGCCGGGAGGACAGCCAGGTCCCCAGAGGGCCGAGGCCGAGGGTCTGCAGCTGGGGTCCAGGACGCCGCAAGCAGGGGGCTGCCAGGGGAATGCTGAAGTGCCCCTCGCTGCAGAAAGGGGCGGTGTGGCAGAAGCTCATCTAGGTGAGCGACAGCTGGGTGGGGAGAGGGAGGCTGCTGGGCGCCCAGCGGGGCTCCGGGGAGACAGGCCCTAGGGTGCCCACTGAACAGCTCCCCCAGGCCCACCCCAGCTGAGGACGCGAGGTTTCTGAGGCGGGGCCGGAGGCCAGGGGCTGGGCCGCCGCCTTGGGAAAGGGAGAACATCCAGGTCACGGACGGGGGGTGGGGTGCGCCGGCTGGAGCCAGCGCCGGGTGGAGCCCCGGCCACAGTCCACGGTGGCGTCCGGGCAGCAGCGGCAGCCGCGGCCGGGTGGACGGGTCCCAGGTTTCCTCTTCCTGGCTTCTTGAGCTGGGGTCCAGGGCTGGAGCTCGTCCAAGGGCTTGCGTCCAAGTCCATGGCCTGCCTCAGGGCCGCTCCCAAATGCTCCTCCAAGGCAGTTCAAAGGACAAAGCAGGAAGACCCCCCAGGCCTCGACAGCCGCACCGCGAGCGTTGGAAGTCGGACGCGCCGCGGGGCGGCGGGCAGGTGCAGCGGCCTGTCACTGCGTCTTGGCTTTCAGGAGCAGCCTCTGAACTGTTCTGTACAGGAGGTCGAAATGCTGGGGGCAAAGGGCAGCGTGAGGCCGCAGGCCCCCTTCCGGCCCGCCGGGCCCACCCTCCGCGGCGCCTCGCTCACCTGCACCGCCGTGTAGGCCATCCCAAGGTAGGCACCAATGCAGACAGCCAGGAGCAGGTCGAAAATGGCTGGCTTGACCCTGGGGAGGGAGGGAGGGCAGGCACGGGGCGTCAGGGCAGGACGCGGGCTCGTGGCCAGGGCCCGTGGCCGGGGAACAGGCTGGACGGGAGCAGCTCACCTGTACGCGTTCATCACCTGCTTCAGCTGGTCATAGAAGACAAACTCGGGATCCCTGGGGAGAGAGCACGGGCTCAGGGGGCCCCCGCCAGAGGCTGGGCCACATTGCACAACCCAGCGGGCTGCCAGCTGCACGGAGCGGGCGCAGCCACGGGAGGACGGGCCCTTCCTGAGGACACCGGCCCGCTGTTTGGGGGCTGAAAACACACTGGAGAAGTGGGGGGCCGGCAGAAACAGGGCCGCCGGGAAGCGCGTGTGCTGCGGCCTCAGGGCCCAGCCAAGCCAAGGGCCACTCTGCGCTCCGGTCTCTGCGCCCGGGAGCACGCAAGGGGCCAGGCGCAAGCCACCACGAGGTGCCAGGCACTGGCGTGGCGCAGCTGCGGTCCAGGGGTGCCGAACACGGAGAAGACAGAGGCCTGCAGGGGCGCCGGCCTGCGCCGCGACACGCCCCTGCCCTGCAGGCAGCGCGGGATGGCCACAGCCAGACCACGTGGGCACGGCTACACTACACGTGGCCCAGCAGTGCCCGAGGCTGGAACTTAAGTGGCGCCTGCACTTCCGTGCCATTTTATTTCACTGCCACTTTCACTTGCTAAATCCGGGGCCCCGGACAGGGGTCGGTGCAGCCCCGAGGAGCCGCTACGGGGAGGCCTCACCGCTTGTCCGCCTTGATGTGATGCTGCTTCACCTCCTTCAGGTAGCGGCCCAGGTAGTGCTCGAGCGTGCTCAGGAAGGTGCTGTCCTTGCCCACCAGCTGGGCCGCCCGGGGCTGCTTGGTGAGCCAGTCCATCACGGAGTCCAGCTGCTCCTGCTGGATCTGCTGCAGGGGCCTGGAGTGGTCACGGGCCTGGCCGCCCGGGCCCTACCTCCCCCAGCCCCCCGCCCCAGGCCCTCGCTGGCCCCAGCGTTACCATCTGCTCTGTGAAGACAGGCATGTCCGGGGGCGTCCCCTGTGGAGACAGGAGAGGGGCTGAGCCCGGCCCGGTGTGGCCGGGGGGGCGGGGCCGGCGAGCACCGCGGCTCACCTTCTCGGTCAGGTTGTAGATGACCCGGGTCAGGGCCTCTGCGATGAGCCTCGTGTTCCGGGTCAGGGTTTTAGAGTCAACTCGAGACCTGCGGGGAGAGTCAAAGACAAACAGATATAAATTGGGAGTTAACACCTAGTCATCACAGCAACGACAATCAAGACATCCCCCGATAACGAGAGTAAGAAGACAGCCCAGTGGTGGGGAGGCACCACTGCGCCCCAGAGTCCTCTTTCCTTCTCCTAAACACCCAGCAGCTTTAATAACGAGCTTTCGTAGGCAACCAGGGCGCGCCAGGCACACAGACCCCCACGCCCTCACAGGCCTCGCGAACCTGCACCCCCCGGGGCTGATGGCGCACGCCGGTCCTCGGCGCGGCCTCAGGCCTCCGGTCCGGTCACGGGGCCGCCTTGTCCTGTGTGTTCCCGCTCCCTGGGACACACCCCACTGGACTGCGCCCCCATCCAGTGTGACCTCATTTTAACTCAACTAATTACATCTGCCAAGAGCCCACTTTCAAACGAGGCCACATCCACAGACTGAGCTTGAAGGCCTGCGTGAGGCCGGGGACGTGTTTCTGAAAGACACAACCCAGGCCACAGGACCCGGACGTGGCTCCTGGTGGTGCCACACGGCAACGTGGGTCTCTGGGACCCAGATGAGAGCAGCCAGGGACAGTGATGGCCTTTCCTGCTCGGAGGCCGTCTGACCCCTCCTGGCACTGACTGCCGGGCTCCGAACCCGCCCCATGCCAACCACCCCCCGCCCCTCAGATGGTCCCTTCGCCCCAGGCACCCCCACCTGCTGGTGGCTCCGCAGCTGACCACTGCAAGGGGGGTGGGTCCCCGGGCCCAGCAGGTGGAGAGGCCGCTGTGGGGGAGGGGACGCAGGAGCCCCGAGGCACGTACCTCACGTCCATGATGCTGCTGCGCTGGCCGTCACGGTGGCTCTCCAGGTGGGACAGGGTGAAGGCCGGCAGCCGGCGGATGGCAAAGCGCTCGTGCTCCCAGGCCAGCATGTCCTCCGCCAGGTTGATCTTCTTGTGCACCATGGAGAACCGCACCTCCGGGAACTGGTGGGCAGCCACCTGAGGGCGGGGGGCTGTCAGGGCAGCGCCCCCGGGGGGTCCATCTCTGCCCTCAGGAGACCCGCCGCCACCCCGGTGTGGGGTCCGCCTGCCTGCGGCCCACTCACCCCCTTCAGGCCCCACGTCTCTGGGCAGCACCGTCAGGTGACCCCCCCGCTGCCCTCGCCCCCACAATCCTCGTGATGAGTCCAGTCTCCGTGCAGTGGCCCCTCACACCTCCGCGGCGCCTTGCAGAGGCTCACAGGGGCCGCGAGAGACAGGAGGGTCCCGAGTCCTCTGGAACCTCCCAAGTCTGCAAAACGGGGCAGCCCGCCTGCAGCTTACTCAAGGCCCCGGGGCCTGCCTGGTAATGTGGGGCTGGCGCCTGGCCCGACACCTACGTGACCTCTGGGCTGGGCCTGCCTGTGAGGGGCACTGCTGGCCTCCTGCTGCCTGAGGGCCCCTCTCGCCCCGGGGCACCTACCATCTCCAGCTCCCGCAAGAACACGTGCTGCAGGGTCCCCTCCCTGGGCGGCTTGGACACATGCAGGTGCAAGCTGTCCCCCCGGCCCACTGTGTCCAGGCAGAGGACGAAGGCCACGTTGTCCTGCAGCAGACTGGAATCTGCGCGTGCAGAGAGAAAGCTGGCGAGGGGGTGGGAAAGAACGGTGGCCCTGGAGCCCTGACCCGCAGCCCTTCTGGCGCCCACCTCTCTGCCCACCAGGCACCTACCTGTGTGGTCCAGGTTATCTTCCAGCCAGCGCTTGGTTCCCTGGTAATTAAACTTGCCCCCTCCGGAAGCGAAGAACAGGAGATTGTACCTGGCAGGCAGAAGGCGCGGGGAGTCAGCCTGCGACAGGGGAGCGACCGGGTTTCCCGCGAGGCGCCCTCCCGGAGTGGGGTCCTGAGCGGCCCGCAGGCGGCAGGAGCGCCTTCGGGTAAGAGCCACTTTTCTAGCGGCTTCTCTGAGCTCTCAAAACCAAGAAAGACACGATGGACCAACCGGGAGACAGACCCAAGAAGATAAAAGGCCAGAACCCAGCCCGCGGGCGGACACCAGGCCGGGGGGCTCAGAGGCACGCAGCGGGCGCCGCCGGCACTGTCCCCCCAGGCCAGGGGCGGGCAAGGCAAGCGCGAGGGGCGGCGGGGCCGGGCGCGGTCACTTACGCGGCGTGAGTGCGCTTGCGGGTGTAGAGCCTGGAGAAGAGCCGGGCGAGCTCCAGCAGCACAGAGACGCCGCTGCCGTTGGAGTCGGCGCCGTGAGACAGCCACTGCGGGCACAGGCAGGCTGGGGCGCGCCGTCCTGGCCCAGCGCCGCCCGGCGGGCGCCCCGGCGTCACAGGCCAGGCCCAGGCCCTCCCGGTCTCAGCCTCCCGCCAGCCCCGCTCCTGGGGAGCTCCTGGAGCCCCAGCTGCGGGCGGCCCGCCCCCCTCGCCTCCACCTGGCCTCTGCACGGGCACCTTCACATCCCTGGCCCCGGGCGCGGGGCAGGGCCCTCCAGCTTCCCTGGGCCCGCGAGAGCCCCCATTCATCTGGACCCTAGTGGGGTGGCAGTTTCTCTAAGAGAATATAACCTTGGCTTCTCAGGGCGGGGCGCCCGAAGTCACAGTGCGTGACACAGCTGCGGGGAGCGGCGGCTGAGGGCAGGACACCAGGCCTCGCCCCACAGGCGCCCTGCAGGAACAAGCAGCAGGTTCCAACGGACTGCCCACGCCTGGCCCCTGAGGCCCAGCTGGTCCTGCCATTCTCAAGGACAGTCTTGGCCTTCCAGACGGCGTGGACAGCAGGACGGCCATTATTCACCCCCAGCGCGGCCAGGAGTTCATGCCAGCCGGCGGGCCCACCCTGCCATCAGCACCATCTGCTGTGGCTGATGTTTCCCTCAAAGCAAAACCTCCTCAAGGAAGGCAGCAGAGTGGGTCTGCACACAGGCGCACCTCCAGAGACACACCGTGGCCCAGCCGGCTGCCCCCGCGCCGTCCGGAAGCTGGACTCTGGGGGCCACTGCTAACTCATGGACAGGGTTCTCCGACCCTAATCGCAGATACGTGATGGCCACCCTGCTCGCGCTCGCCCCGGTTCCTGGGCCGCTGCAGGCCTCCTGGGGAGCACATCTCACCTGCACATCGTGTCTGAGAACTGTTATGTGTGATCCCAATGGAGGACTCTGGAAGTTTCCACCTGGCCTCCCTGGGTCCCCTGCTCCCATGAACTTTTCCCTTTGATCCTCTACTGTCCTCTCTCGAACCACAGCCATAGAGATGGTCATCTGCTGGGTCTGTGGGGTCCCCCCAGTGAACCCCTGCAGGGGCCCCTGGCTAGGTGTCTGTCTCAGCACGACGCCACCACCCACCGGTCCTCTTGGGGACTCAGGACAGCGGTAAAGCGCTCACATACAGAGCTGCAGCTACCCCTGGTAACCCTCGAACAGGGCAGGAGCACCCACCTCCCTCCTCTGAGGGGTACATACCGGGGCGACGCCGAAAGCATCATAGTGGGCCACGATGACGACGGTGGGGAGGTCTTCTCCGCCCAGCCCTGTCAGCCGCCCCTGCAGAGAGACCATCTGTGAGGGGCCTAGCTGACCGCAGTCTGACAGCAGAGGTAGCCGAGGTCCCCCAAACCTGGGGCTGGGGGGACCCATTTTAGGCCCGGACTTTAGCTATAAGTAAGTATGTGGATGAAGAGGCGACCACGTGCCAAAACCTTAGCGCAGACAGGCCGAGGGCTGCACGCGTCACGGTCTCACCAAAGAGCCCACTGGCCACTCCTGCCACCGAGGACAGGCCCCCCACAGCGGGTGTGCTCCAAGCCACTGTCCTCACTGGCGGGGGAGCTCTGTTCATGGGAAGGAGGGGTACGCGCAGGCAGGTGCCAGAGAGCGTGGAGCCCCAGGCTGGGGCCTACTGGATATAAACGCGCCCTCGAAAATTAAACCAGGTACCAGAGGAGCACTGCTCTATGCCTCCGGCACGGGCACAGCCCACCGTGTGCGCCAGCTCGGGGCACAGGGGCCAGAAAGCTCCGCGCGGCCAAGGGCGCTGCCTTTCCGAGTCTCCGACCAGACGCAGGCTCTGCCCGGGCACAGGCCACACCACGCGGAGCTGTCCACTCAGCCGGCTGCCCCGGGTCAGAGCTGCCGGAGATCCGGGTCCGGGCCCGACTTTCCCCGGGAGCAGGGCCAATCCCGCCTCTGGCTGTGCAGGCAGAGGTCGGAAGGCCCTGGGAATAGCGGGAGCCTACAGTGCAGACGCTTCCAGAAACACAGGCAGGCAGGCAGGCTGGCAGGTCGGAACTGACCCCCAAGAGTGAGACGGGCCCATGAGACCCGCTGTCTGTGCTCCCCCTTGGCAAGCCAGGCCCCTGCAGCTCAGCCTGCCGCTGGGAGCTTGGCAGGGGGACCGGCCAGTGCAGCTTCCGTGCCCATATGGCCGCGACCCTCTGCACCCCCTTCCTTACTGGTAGCTGAGATGCTGCAACGGCAGCTCCCGGGTGCCCAGTAGGGCCACACGGGCCCGCTGCCTGCCTCCCCGCCGCCTCCATCCGGGCAGCAAACAGCCAGTCCACCTGGAGCCCTGCCCTCAGCACCCCCTCACTCGACCACCACTCAGCCTGGCTGTCCCTGTGGGCCTCCCCAAGACACGGGGCGGGGCCTTCTGGTGATGGCAACCCAGCCCTGGCAGAGCCCCGCTGACCAGAAAGACCTGGAAAGTTCTGACAGGGGACGGGACCTGCTTTCCCCGAGATTCCCTTGTGGAGGAACTGGTGCTGGAACAGCTTGCTTGCCAGGAGCGGCTGGCATGGGCGGGGTCCCGCCCCAGGCCTCACTCACCTCCACGCTGGCGATGAGCCAGTCACTCACAGCCTTGCTCTGCACCCCGCTGGTCACCATCTGGAAGCCGTTGGCAGTGGCGGTGTGAAGCAGCACTGAGGACACAGGCAGGGGGTCAACCGGGGTATTGGGGCTGAGCCGCATCCTCATCACCCCAAAATCCAAGACTCTCGGGGCTCGGTCTGAGCAAAGGCATGGACAGATATGACCAATGGACTTAAGCAGAGGGGTGACCTGACCAGGCAGAACCTACTGCAAAGGGTTGGGACCACCTGGGGCCCCAACGGCCAAGCCGGCACCTGTCCACCGAGGGGCTGCGCAAGGCGGTCACCCTGGCAGGCCCACGAGCCGCAACGCCAGGAACAGGAGCTTCTCAGCAATGGCCTGCCACCCTCCAGCCCAGGCCCTGAAGCATGAAAAATTTCGTGATCTGCTGGCCGTGCAGACGTGACCGGACCCACCCTGCACGCCACCCTGTCATCCTGGGCCAGGGGCTCCCTAAAACTCTGGGGAGTCTACATTCTCCTGAGGCCAGTTCTGGTTTTTACATATGTAAAAACATAAATATTAGTGGTCAAGCAAGCGGCCCTCACCGTGGGAGGGGAAGGGCCCCAGGAGCTGCAGCCCAGGGCAGCCGCAGCCACGTGCAGCCCCACCCGCACACCTTCAGCCGCGGAGGCAGAGCCTCGGGAGGCCGAGGCGGCCTGCGTCTGCTCGTAGATGGACAGGAGGGCCTCGTCCTCCACCGCGAAATACACAGGCACGACGGTCTCCATGGCCAGCATCTCGGGCTCCGTCTCCATGAATCGCTGCGGGCCAGGCACAGGTCTGATGGCTTCTGGCGTGCAAGTTGGAGGGCACAGGGGAGCCCGTGGCTATCCCTGGGGACCCCTCCAAGTGACGCAGGACGCGAGGGCTGACATGTGGGAGGTCGGCTGACCAGGAGAGGGCTGGGGAGGGGGCAGCTGGGGGCTGGCTACCCCCTAAGGCGCCAGTAGGTGAGGGGTGCTGGTTCCGGCTGATGGCGGGGCTCGAGCAGGCAGTGGGGTGTGGACCACCTGCTCCGAGCAGTCCTTGGGAAGGGTGGGTCCCCCACCCCCACAACCCTCCTCATCCGCAGCAGCATCTTCTCGGATAGTCCCCCTGAGGGGCCCTATGAGAGCCCTGAATTCAGAGTTGGCCCCATCCGCTCTCCTTGGACATCAGGGCAGGGCGGGCCTGGGGGGCCCATCCTGGCACCTCGCGGTGCTGAACGACACCCCTGGGCACAAGCCCGCAACGTGGCTAACACGACGTCCTGAGACCCCAGCCTGTGTCCTCTGGGGCGGCGATCCCGGGACGGGCGTCACCCGCCTCCTGAGGGCCAGGTCAGGGGCGTGGGGCAGTGGAGCGACTTGTCCACTCCAAGCCCAGCACCCTCCCCAAGGAAGCTCCGAACCCCGCAGGGAACCCCGCAGGCGGGGCAGGGACTCACCCGGATGACCTCCTGGGGCACGGCGGCCATGGCCCGCGGCAGGATGATGACCACGGCGCCCGCCGACTGCCGCAGTGCCCGCTGGTACCGCTCGTAGGAGAAGTCCAGCAGCCGCATGAGCACGCAGCGGCGGCTGAGCACGTCCGCGTCCACGGTGCGCGCCTCCGTGTTGAGCACCGCGTTGCGCGTGCCTGCGAGACAGGCAGCCTGAGCGGGCCGCGCCCTGTCCCCAGCCCCGCCCACGGGCGCGAGAGTGCGGCAGGGCCGGCCTGCAGGCCCCTGTCCACTAGTGAGTCGCGGGGCCTTCTGCTAGGGGGCAAAGCCAAGCCTGCAGGCCAGGCCACTGCCCCGCCTGCCTGCCCCCGGGGTCAGCAAACATTCTTGGCTAAGCAGGCCACACTGCCGGTGTCCGCGGGGTAGGTGTGGCCACGTGCCAGCAAAACTTTACTCATAAAAACAAGGAGGGTTTGATCCGACCCCCAGCTCACGCAGGACTCAAGGTGGGCACTTCTGAGCTGAGACCGGGAGAGAGCCCGCGGGCACACCCCCGTTTCTCAGACCCTCAGACGCCAGTCTGCTGCGGTGCCGGGCGGCACGGGCTGAGCGCCCAGGCCCTGCCTCACCCCAGCGGCCGGCTGTGTCTGCAGCATCACCGCCCTAGCCACTGTCCCGGGGCACCAATCTGGCCATGGCAGATCCCAGCCAACTCAGAGGCGCCGCCCTGGCACGCAGGCCCGGCTCCCTCGGGACCCCAGTGCGCCCCTCCCCGAGCACCAGGCAAGCCAGCTTCCCCCAATCGGTGAGCTGCTGCCAGAGGGGGTGTGGAGGGGGTGTGAAGAGCACATGGGGGGCTGAGCACCCCTGCCCCCTGCTGGATGCCAGGAGCCCACACAACTGTGACAGCCACAGCCCCGAGGGCAGCTGGGCCCAGGTGTGGGGCAAGCACTGCTCTACACCCCAACACCTTCCTCCACCGTCAGGACCCGCAGAGTGAGGAGGGAGCAAGAGGCGGAGCTGGCGCTGGGACCTGCCTGTGCCAAGCTTGGCATAGGCACCTCGAGCCCCGCCCCTCCCACCCCCCCAAAGCGGTTGCTGGTGCAGGAGGCCACGGCACAGAGGGTTCTTGTTAAGGCCAGCGTGGTCCTGTTGGACAGCACGAGGACCCAGCCAGAACAGGGTCCCAAGGCCACGCCACCCTCAGTGTAGCAGGCGGCGGGGGGCTAACACCCCAGGCTCCCACAGGCATGCAGTCCACGAGGCCCCCGGTGGCCATATGCCCCCACCACATTGGTGGGAGCGGAGGCTGAGACAGCCCCCCAAGTGCCAGAAACAGTAACACGGAATCCATCGGTCTCTTTGAGAATACGGAGTCTGCACCCCGCTCTGGGTCCCAGAGGGCCAGACTGCAGTGCTGGGCACTGCCCTGGCCAGCAGGAACCCGGGCCGAGCAGCAGGTGAGATGCTGCCCCTTGCGCCCCACCAAAGGCCACTCAAAGTCCTGTGAGCAACACACACGGCTCCTTTCTGCCACCTGCCTCTAGGTGTCCTAAGGGTTGGGGGAGGTACTGGCAGGTGGCTCCCTGGAGTGGACATGTACTCGGAGTAACCTCAGGTTGCCCCCCTTCCCCGGAGAGCCGAGTCCTGGTACAGTCAGGCACGGGCCACCTCAGAGAAGAGGCTCCCAGATCTGGGGTCCCAAGCCAGCCACCTCGCCGGGCCGTGCGGAGCCCCTCGTCTGGTCACGTGGAAGGCGCACTCTGTGGGGCCTAAGGGCCACCCCCGCAAGCTGCAGAAACTCCAAGTTTTGGCCAAATCACTCAAACAGTACAGGGGAGCAGAGGCCCAGACACTTCAGCCCTGCGGTCAGCCGGGAGGCTCGAAGCAGGCCGGTGACCCTCACGCACGTGGGGCGCAGTCTGAAGCCCACGAAGGGCATAAGCCACCGCGCAGCCCAGGCCTCCCGGAGGCCGCGCAGCCGGAGGGACCCAGCCCTCACTCCCGGCGCCTCTGCTGGGCTCAGGGCCAGGGTGCAGGTCTGGTCTCCTCTTCCTGAGGAAGGAGAGGCTTCGCTTCCAAGGAGCACCCCGAGGGCTGGCGGGCACAGGAGGCTGCAGCCCCCTGCCTCTGCCCCAGACACTCAGGGGCCTTTCTCTGCGTTGGGCAGGACAGTGGGGAGCCCAGGCGGCCCTGGCAGGGGGAGGCAGCAAAGACCTTCAGGGTGACCTTGATGCGCTCAGGACACCAGATGGCCATCTGTCCCCGGCGTCCTATCTTCAGGGGCTCCTAGAAGGTCTGCCTGGCTCTGGGGGAGTCAGGGGGCTGCCTGCGGAGCCCTCGACTATGTGCATCTTCTTACTGGCCGGGTGCTCCTGCAGGACCCCACTTTCAAGAGAAGGGAAATGAAGCTGGAGGAGGGCTAGAGAAGGTGGGTGGAAGAATGCCAGGCCACTGCACCCCGGAACTCTTGAGTGCCAGGGCCCGAGACCGCCTCTGCTGACAAGCTGAAGCCAGCAGGCTGACCCTTGCCTCAGTGCACCAGCAAGGTGGGCATGGCAGAGGCTGGAGGCGGCCCCCGGACCCTGCATAGCAGTTGCTGGGCCCCAGGACAGGGCCGCCCCCGGCCCAGAGCGGCACACTGGCTCTCCCATCTCCTCGGTCCCAGGCACATGTGGGCGGGCGGGCAGGGGCATGTGCAGGGGACGTTCTTCACCCCTGGGCAGCAGCCAGTCCTGGTGGAGGCGTCTGGCCTGGGGCGGGGCCAGGCTTCCTGAGCACTGTGGGGGGGCCTTCGGGGATGTCTAGTGAGTCTCACGGCACCGGCTCACGGCAAGCGCCCTGGTAAGTGGAAACACGCTGTCACTGGGGAGGACCAGAGTCCACCTGGCAGAAGGACAAGGTGGAAGCCTGGGCCCGCTGCCTCTCACCCAGCACGGAGCACCGGCCTCTCCTTCCCATAGCCTTGCCCACTTCTCCGCAGTTTCTCAAGAGGCCAACAGGAAGTTGGGAAAGGGGCACCCAGAGGAAGGGTTGCGCCAGAGGTGGGGCCCAGGTCACCAGGAGAATGAGCAACAGCGATCCAAGTGCCAGCTGAAGGCAGCAGGCAGGAGATAAGGGCCCCGCCCCTCAAACCGGCCTTTCAGAACCTGGGGAACAAGGAAGGCCTCAGACCCACTCCCCACCCGAAAGGCCAACACCTCCCCGCTCCCCCCATGGCCCCACATTCCTCTGAGAGGTACACCAGCTGGCATGACTGGCATGGCAGGGGCCTCGGCGAGCTCTGCAAGGAGCCCAGGTGTCCGACTCCCTGTGCTGTGGACAAGGGGCTTCTCCCCCCTCCACACACCCCAACATCCTGGCTTCTCACTGGGAGCAACAGAGGCTGGCGGCCAGGGAGGAAAGTGCGTGGACGAAGACCCCAAGTTGGAGAAGACCTGGGAAGGAGCCCAGCATGGGGGCCTGAGCCGCTCAGGGTCCCCCCAGAGGGGGCAGAGGGGCGCTGGCCTGCAGCAGGCAGCTAAGGGGCCAGCGAGGGCCTGGAAAGGAGGCTCTGGGCTAGGCGCTGGGGGATCCCGGGCGGCAGCCAAGGGAAGCAGCAGTGAGCCAGCAGCCGAGAAGCAGGTCATCCCCAGTGCTAAGATCTGGGCCTTTGTGTTCGGACTCCTCTGGGAAACCAATAAAAGCTCTAGAAAGATCTAGATCAGGATGGCAGCCATGTTTCAGGTGGCAATTTCAGCTCGCCACAATTAAGGGCCCTAGAAGCCCAATCCTGCCATTGTGGAAGTAACGCTTCCGGTGCCGCGTGGCCACCTATGACTGGCAGAGGAGACCCAGATCCCGACCACCACCAAGACCACCGACCACCAGACCACCACCTCGTAACTTCTGGCCTAGGGAAGACCTTCCCTGGGGAGATGCCTAACAATGCATAAAGTGTGCCGGAGGCAAGGGTGAGCCTGGCCTTCCACTGCCACCCCTGTGGCTCAGAGCCATTCCTCTGAACGCCGTCTCCTCTCCCGCACTTCTAATATTGGGGTGTGCTGGGTACTGTGGGGTGTGAAACACCCCTGGTCGCACCCATTCTGGGTTCCTGCGTGGAATGGAAATGAGACAACTTGGGGCAGGGAAGGGGGGGCATAGTCAGAGAAGAAATGAGCAAGGGGGGTTGAGCTTTGACTTCCAGGGACCTAACATAGCAGGCTGAAGGGTAAACCAGAGGCCAGAAAGTTCTGGAAAGCAGATACAGCTACCGTCAGGAGAAACTAAGGGGGTTCAGAACAGTGGGCACTGGAGCCAGGGCTTTGACAGGCAAGAGGCAAAGAGGTGCATGGGATACCAGACCAGTGAATCTGGGGGTGCCAACAGGGATGGGAACCCAGGGAAACAAGGTGGCTCAGAGGCAACCGGGACACCCTGGGGTGGGGGGCTTGTGGAGCTACAGAAGGCCGGGGGGAGAGCAGCCGAGGCAGCGGCTGGGACCCACCACGGGCCAAAGGCAAGAAAACTGACCTGGGACGGAGGGGGACTGAGGGATCCAGCTCGTGAGCTGGGCCAGAGTGGAAGGCTTGCAGAGAGCAGGCGCTAAAGTGAGGCCAAAACTGGGTCTCCGCGCGCTGAGAACCCCAATGCGGGGCAGAAAGCGGACACAGCAGAGTACCCCGGAAACCCAGGCGGGCTGCAGGCCGGCCGAGCCCGCAGGAAGGCTCACCTAGGCAGGCAAAGGTCGGCGCCCGGGCACTGGGGCACGACCTGGGCGGAGGCCAGGAAAGGGAGCAGGGGGGCAGGAATCGGGTCCACCTGGGAGTCAGAGACCCGGGGTGGGGCAAGGGGGACCCGCCTGCGGGTGGCAGCCACGGCTGCTGGTGAAGTGCCCCTCGCCGGGCCAGGCGCCGAGGCTGTGCGGGAGCGCGCAGGGGGCTCGGCGGGCCAGTGCCGGGCTGGGGTTTAAGCGGCGGCTCAAGCGGGGTCCAGGGGCTGGGCCCCGCAGGGCAGCCTGGGGCGGCGGAACCCGGAGCCCGCGAAGCAGAGACACGGCCCGGGGCGGG